TCGCTGATAAAGCGAAATGCAGCAAATTGAATGCGAAATGAATGTTGCCAAAAACAATGAAACTTTTCTTTTTCTACAGGAACATTTTGCGTGTCAATTTTAGTGATTTATAATGAGACCCAAACGCTTCAGAAGAACACCAACAAAGGTAACGCACAAAACAGAAACAAGAAACATATCTCCTTCGCATTTGGCTTTCGTCTCTCGGAGGGTCACCACTGCCACCACTCTACAATGCTTGTAGAAGTATCGTCCCTTCCACCGATCGTGCTACCCTTGTGGCGTCGCGGACGTCCACGTGTGACTAACACATTGGCAACGTTGGCAGCACCATGCAGCAACATGTTGGCGTGGCCAAAATGTTTGAACATGTTGTGGCATGTTGCAAACATGTCGTTGCCACGTTGCCAACATATTAGCCACATGTGGCAGGTCGTAACAAGATCTGTGGAGGGGACGATACAATCTATTAGGTTGTCCGAAAATTAATGCCCGTTTCGAATTTCAACCGCAAGTCATACACTTCTCACGTCTAAGTAGGTTGTTGTAAAGTACCATTCAGAGCAAAGCAAGGTCTACAAGATGTCCATCTTGATTTTGCAACAGCTCTCATCTACCTCAAGCTTCCAGCCAAAAACTAAAAAGACTCAGCAGCCCGAAAAATCGAAAAATCGTAACTCGGTTCACAAAAGTCCTACAAAAATTTCTTACTTGCTCACGTAAACACTATCCACATAAGACATCTATATACGCCTTCGCCGGTTTTTTTTCTCGGTTAGAAATCAAGAAAACGGAAATTTTCGTGCATTTGCCAAAGTAATGCTGTGCCGTTCCCACATAGGTAGTTGTACACCACAAGCCTGTAGAAGTACAGACTTAACTTTTTAGCCCTCAACAAGCTTTAGTTCTCGAGAAATTTGAATTTTCGCTTGGATCACCTGACTAAGGAAAGCTATATTCGGCATTCCTCAAGAACTAAAGCTTGTAGAGAGCTGAAAATTCAAGTCTGTACTTCTACAGGCTTGTGAAGTACAACTACCTATGTGGGGACGGCACAGCGTCACTTTGGCAAAAGCACGAAAATTTCCGTTTTCTTGATTTTTAACAAAGGAAAAAAACGGCAAAGGAGTATACAGGTTGTCCCAAAAAAATGTGAACACTGTTTCATCGTTAATAAATCCGTTGCCTTCATGTCTTTCGCCGAGCTTGAGGTGCCATTCTGTAGAGCGAGGCTCAACTTAGATTTGTAGTATGGAGCGAATTACCGATCGCTGTTCTTTACTGTATGGTTACGGTATGAGCTTCTAGCATGTGGATCTACAGTGAAATATGCCATTTGACAAAATTTTCTCCAAAAAATCTGAGAAATCGTGTACCGGGATTTTTGCCCACGCTGATTCCATTACACAACTTTTTATGAGTGTTTTTAGCTTTTTCGACGGTGTATTCACATTTCTGACAAATGCTGGAAATTCACTTATTTCGGTTCAGCTGGGATAACCTTGGAAAGAAGCATCACAGTAAAGTGGAAATTGCATATTCGAAATCAGCGGCTTCCATTACCGTAGTATAGAAGTTTTTGGCTTGTTTGGTCTTGTTCCGAGGCAGAATGTGGCCTTCAATAGCCTAAAATCCTTGTCCAAGTTCCTACCGTAATCCTACAGTAATGAAGAGCGGTAGATGATTCGCTCCATACTGTAAGTGTAAGTTCAACCTCGCTCTATGGAATGGTGCCTCAAGCTCGGAGAAGGACATGAAAGCAAGGGAGTTATTAACAATCAAACAGTGTTCACATTTTTTTGGGACACCCTGTATATTAGGTCGTTTCAAAAGTAATTTCGCTTTTTTCAAACGGGCACCACACTTGATGGAATAAAGCTTTCTAAGAGATCTTGGAAGCATTCGATGCAGAATTTCATTCTCTTCTAACTTTCACGAAATTATTGCAAAACAGTTAATGAGCTTTCAGAAAATAACCAAAATCTGCGACCCATGCTTTTTAAGATGGTCAAGTTTCGCGATTTTTCAAAACTTTCATATCAGTCCTCAGAAGGAGTTCGAGTAACGATTCGATAGAGCAAACCTTAAAGAATACAGTACTTTTTTTCTCTTTCTCATAGCTCGCCGTAATTTTTTAGAAGATTTTTAACAGAACCATCGGATTTTGGCAGACCCACCTCAGCCACAATCGCATCAAGCATCATAATTTTTCGGAATTCGAGACTACCAAGATAGTACTATGAATTAGCATCAATTTTACAAAGCAAGTGAGGGTTTACGGGTTCGAAATATTAGATTTCGAGTTTTTCGGGTACAGCCTGGAGCTCGCTAAAAAATGAGTTATGATGATTTCTCCCCGGAAACTAAACGAATCGAAAACAAAAAACACCTATTAGAAAGAGGAGAAAATGCTGCTTTGAATAGTGCCCAAGCTGCTCTTCTTTTGATGTTCTACGAGGATTTAGCTGCCCAAGTATGGAAATCGGTAGCATCAGTTAAAATTCTGTTAAAAATGTATGACAAGCTATGGAAGAGAGAAAAAATTAGATTTACATTCTGCAGGGTTTGCTCTATCGAACCGTTGCTTGAACTCCTTTTGAGGATTGATATGAAAGTTTTAAAAAATCGTGAAACTTGACCATCTCAAAAAGCATAGGTCGCAGATTTTGGTTATTTTCTGAAAGCTCATTGACTGTTTTGCAACAATTTCATAATTATTAGAAAGATAACCTTTGTTCTATCAAATGTGGCGCCCGTTTGAAAAAAACGAAATTACTTTTGAAACGACCTAATAGATGTCTTATGTGGATAGTGTTTACGTGAGCAAAGTAAGAATTTTTGTAGGATTTTTGTGAACTGAGTTACGATTTTTTTTCGATTTTTCGGGTTGCTAAGTCTTTTTAGTTTTTGGTACGAAACTCGAGATGGATGAGAGCTGTTGAAAAAGCAAGATGGCCATCTTGTAGAGCTTGATTTGCTCTACCATTGGTACTTCGCAACCTATTTAGAAGTGAGAAATGTATGACTTATTGCGGTTCAAATTCAAAACGGGCATTAATTTCCGAACAACCTAATATTATGTCGCGAAATTTTCGAAACTTACTCAAATGCGTTGTTAAGTTTACTTGTAAATAACTAAGGCCCGCATATACGTACATCTCCGCTAGAGAGGGGAGGGAATCTGAGAAGGAATGCGTCATATCTCGCTACTCTAGATATCTTTCTTCTTCCTTTTTTATCTTGCATATGAAAGTTTTCATACCCTTATACCTGCGCATAATGTATGCCAGGTTACTGCCAAGATACAAGATTGGTTTCTTGTCATTTTGTGTGCTCCCTGAGGATCCTCAGGGAATCATGCCTTATTTCCAAAGTCATTTATCTTCCGAAGAAGTCAATGAAATTGCTGCAAAATCGTACTGAGCATATACTACGGCACTGCTTAACATGTTTATGGTAAAAATAAGTTAAATCTCAGCATATCGAAATATTCGTTGAACCACTGCTTGTCCTCAGATTCCATTTCTCCTGTCTAAAACATGATTAGCAGTGTTGCATATATCCTCAATACAACTTTGCAGCGTTTTCATTGACTTCCCCGGAAAATAGTTCGCTTTGAAAATGAGAGGTGATCCCGGGACCCGCAAAAATTTTGGGGAGCGTACGAAAAAAATTTTCGGAGTTCGTGGCTAACGCCACGCAACTTTATCCAAAAAATTGTTGTCGAGCCCCCTGCGCCCCCCTTCCCTCCCCCCAACAGAATTCCTGGGTACGCCACTGATGTAAAAAATATCAGAGTTATCTCATATCAGGAACGTATCATAACCGCGTTTTTCCGTTTGAACGAATTGCAACTTTCTGTTTTTTGCAACAGTTCCTGGCACCACGGGTGCTTTTTTTAGACATTACAGTCATTAGAGTACATTTGAAACAGTCGACTTGCCACAAATTGGCAACGTTGATTGAGCCGTTCTCTATCAAACTCTCTTATCCAGCCAGGGCTTAACGCTAGTAACATCGGTTTTCTAAATCGAATTTCCCATTGAATCTGCAAAGTACTATTCAGTGCAGATATTAGAAGAAAATCAAGCACAACAGTGGAAGAACGTTACAAACATTACACGAATTAACGATGTTTGTATCGCTTGGTTTTGGACCATGTTGGGAAATTTATGTCGAGGTTGGGTTTTAGTTTGGAAGAATCAAGTGAATGGGCAGAAATATATATTCGACAGTTATGATCAGTTAGAGAATTCATTTTGAGTTGTGGCGGGACGTAAGACAATGAAGCTTTACGTAGGGTGTCCGAAAAAATGTGCCTACTTTCTGAATGTTAATAATTTTCTTGTGATGCCGTTTTTCGCTAAGCTTCAGGAATCATTCATTTTGTAGAGCACGTTTTAGTTTAGATATACAGTATAGTGCGGATAAATCTCTCTATATTACTGTAGGATTACTGTAGGAATTTTGAGGAGGATTCTGAGTAAATAGAAAAATCACATTTCACCATAGGACAACCAAAAAAGCTAAAAGCTCCTCCTAGGTCAAAGTCGCTGTTTCCAACATAAATCTCACACTTTACCGTAACGCATTTCAGCATGCATGAAAACCTTGTTACACAATTCTTCAAAGGATAACTCTTATCTTTTTTTCACAGTGGCGCTGCTGCAAGTTCCTACCGTGCTCCTACAGTAATGAAAATAATTTTTTAAACTCGCTCCAGGCTTTGAGTCTAGACTGAAGGCAGGTCTAAAAACAATAACTAAAGCTTTCTGAAAAATTCTATTTCAAGGGAGTTATGAACAATCAACACTAGCAGCATTTTTTGGGATATCCTGTAAAACACCTGCACGGTAAAATAAAACTAAATAAATGAATAAATAAATTAAAATCTTAGTCACCAATATCGTAATTCTCGTATTAAAATCATTGGGAAACTGTTCTATGCATGAGATCGACAAAAACGAAGTGAAAAATTTACTTACATTCTCAAGGGATCTGTAGAATTGCAGATCCAGATTATGATCGACCTGGTCCAAGTGTGTACGGTTAAAGAGTAGTTCATGCATGCAGTCAACAATTGCATAATCAAAAGCAGGATAAGGCTGAAAAAACTCAAAAAACTAATAATCTATGCTTTTGTGAAGCCCACCTTGTTAGCCATTAGGCTTTTACTTTCAGATAAAAGCTGCAGGTTTTCAATACCAAACACGCAGACGCTATGTCTATACTTTGGGCATCGAATTATGTTTTTTTGGCGGGACCAAAATGCTGTCCTGAATAGCAATAATTATCTATAACAAACTCTTATCTATAAAAAATTCAAATTCAAGTATCAAAAGCGTGCGATTTCAGCATGTAGACTGAAAGCGATAACTGATGTCATACTTTTATGTCTTTGCATTGATAATGAGCACTACTCTACCAACTCGTCATTCAAATTTAGCATTTGTTTGAAAATACAAATGACAATATTACAGTTTGAAGAAATAACTGCATTGATTGATAAAAATGCGTTAACACTTGAGTGTTGCAGCGTGTCTTCTAATTTTGTTTGTTTTTGAATGTAGCACGCTCATTCCTAGCAGCATTCGCTCATTCCTAGCAGCATTCCGCTCATTCCTAGATTGTGATATGGGCTCAGGGCCCAGTAGGGACGAGGGTGGCAAGTGGATATCAGTAAAACGACTTCGCCTTTGCCGCTATCGATTTTCACGATTTCCCACCTGATCCCGCCGCTACGTGGGTTGTACGATTGAAGCGCACTTTCTTCCTCCAAAGAACCCTCGTCGTTTTATTCTTGATCCTATCAAGGAGGATAGGAGGAGATTTAAAACAAAATGTTATTATATACTAAACTTGAGGTGTAGAACAGATTCATGTAGAACTTTTGCAAACTTGTGTAAATTGGAAGTTTTGCCTACTTCAGGTAAGCATTAGGTGGGCAATTGCCAAACTAATTTGGAAAAAAGTTGGGCACGCTCTTCATTCACAAAAGTTTGCATGGTTTTTCATACTTTGTTCCTTAGCTCTACGCGCGTATACACACCAAATCTCCCGCGTTTTGGTCGTCTCTGTGTTGCAAATGAGCCATTTTTCCATTTTTTTTGGTAGCGGGAAATTTACAGAAAATCTTGCCACAACCTTCAGTCATATAATTTTTCAATGAAGCTTCTCAGTTAACCCCTGCAGGCCCGTGTTTATAAACGTATCAAGTTTCATATCATATCGTCATCTGCGCGTTGCTAACGAACTATTAGAAATCACATCCTTATTCACCAGTTACGAAATTTTTTTTAGAAAAAATGCTTTTACACCTTCCATTCACATAAATTCTACATAATTTTTCACACTTTGTTTCCACTTTCCTCTTCCTTCGCTAACGAGTTTTGGTGCCATATCGTTACGCATACATTGAGAACTAGACATGTAAGTTGTTACAAATAGCAACGTTTAAGCGACGTCGCGCATGCGGCAATCAGACACGGCGCGATTGGACGCGCGCGAACTCCAGTGCTCGCCTGTTGAGGCACATAACATGTTAAGATGAGCAAATAGCATGAACCACCAAGGTTTATTTCGGGACCTCGCCCCGGCCCTAGCAAAAACATATTCCCTTTGCTTTTTCACCCAAAACGATTTCTAGCTTGTCATTTGCTCACCTCATGCTGGGCCCTGTATGGCCTACAAAACTGCGTGAATGAGCGGTTTTCTGATAAGACTATGAAAGAATCTGAGCACGAAAACTAGTGGAATCTGCATTTAAGGTTTCTGAGCGAAAAAAACAGTACAGCACAGTCTAAAATAAACATATCCAGACAAAGTTGCATGCAGCGGGTCTAGAGCAGAGGTGCGATGAGGGGAGCCGGGCCCACCAAAAATAGGGTGGTCCCAGCTACCACTGGCCGGCCAAAGGTGAAGGTGGTAGTGCCGGACACTCACCTCCCAAAAACGTCGACCAGGGGGGGGGGGCGTTAACGTCGACTGAGTCTATCCTTCCAGTCGTTGCCGCCAGCGCGCCGAAAATAAACGCAAAAAAGATTATTGAAAGCATATATTTATGTATACATCGGCATATATATTTAAGACAAACGTGTTCAGTAAATGGTGTATTTGGAAGTAAAACTTAGCGAAACTGTATGGATTTTATTAAGCAAATTTTGTTATAACGTACAGCGAAGAAAGTAGATCGATCCAGGCAGTAACGGCCGAGAACCAGAATTTTGAATAATTAAATGATGAAAAATCATGCAAAATTTCCACTGTTATAAATCTGTTGTTTGAAGATGTCAGCAGTTGCGACTTCATAGGTTTTGAAGAGTAAATGGTGCTCTATCAGCCAGTGAAAAAATCGAGTGGATTTGAGCGACAGTCGTTAAAAACCACAATTCTAAAAATTTACGCCATTTTAGCGTGTTTAGTGACAGCTGATAGTTAAACTAATATAAATCTTGAATGTGAAAATAAGTGATGTTGCGACTTTGTAGGTTTTGTAGAGTAAGGTCTGCTTTATCAGAATTTATTTTAGCCGTACTGATCAATTCAGATACCGCCGACATCCAGGCTCTTAAATAAACAGGCAAAAAACCGCTTTTTGAAATTCAACAGCTCATAACTTCTTCAGAAATGCATGAATCATTTTGCGACTTCATAGTCTAGATTCTACTCATCAAAAGCTTTTAGTTGATATACAACATATGGGGTTTAGGGCTTCCTACGAATTATGCCCTGGGGGGAGCCTTTTCATACCAAAGTCTCCCCTTGCCCACTTTAATGTATTGGAGGGGGAGACTTTGGTATGAAAAGGCTCCTTCCCCCCGTACATAATCATATATCACCTGAAAGCTCTTGATGAGTAAAATCTAACCTAAGAAGTCGCAACATGATTCATGCATTTCTTAAGAAGTTATGAGCTGTTGAATTTCAAAAAGCGGTTTTTTACCTGTTTCTCTAAGAGCCTGGATGTCGGCGGTATCTGAATGGATCAGTACGACTAAGATAAATTCTGATAAAACAAACCTTACTCTACAAAACCTATCGCAACATCATTTACTTTTACATTTAAGATTTATATGAGTTTAACTATCAGCTGTCACTAAACAAACACGCTAAAATGGCGTAAATTTTTAGAATACTGGTTTTCGGCGACTTCCTCCTAAATTGACCCGATCCTTTCACTATGTGTTAGAGGTACACTTGCTCTTGAAAATCTATGAAGTTGCAATTGCTGACATCTTCGAACACCAGATTTATAACGGTGGAAATTTTGCATGATTTTTCGTCACTTTATTATACAAAATTCTTGTTCTTGGCGGTTACTCCCTGGACGACCTAGTTTCTTTGCAGTACGTTATGACAAATTTTACTTAATAAAAACCGTAAAGTATAGCTGAGTTTTACTACCAAATACACCATTTACTGAACACGTTTATTTCAAATATATATGCCGCCGTAGACATAGGTATATGCTTTCAATAATCTTTTTGCGTTTGTTTTGCTTATTTTCCTTCTTTATCGTCCAGCGAAAAATTTTTTATTCCAAAAATGAAGCTGGTCACCCTGCATCAGCTTAAAAGTGAAGGTAGGGGGAGAATCGGCTCCCACTATCGCACCTCTAGTCTAGACATCAGCTTAGCAAAAAATTAATTTTGACCAAAAAAATGCCAGCGCCTTTAAGAGGTTGAACAAGCCGATGAGGTTATTTGGAGGGGCATTCGTCAATAAGTCGAAAGGGAAACCTCAAATTCGCTGAAACTTCTCAATGGAACACTTTGACATGCCGAACATGACATCATATGCATTTGTAAGTTCAACAACTATGCCTTATTTAAAAGGGGCCCTCTCATGCAGATGCGGTATTGTTCTTGCAATTAGCACGTCGAATGACCTCTAGCTCTAGCATCTGAAGCGGAACGAATTTTTCCCCCAAGTAGATCTAACAAGGGAAGTCAGTTAACTTAGAGTTTTGAGATAAGACATGTATTTGGGATCAGCTTCAAACGCTGATTCCAATCATGCTGTTCCTAGCTGCGGCACATAGGTGCAGGAATTTATCTACCCAGAGAGGATGCCGCCATGTAATTAGCAGGGGCATGAGAGGTCATGAACTGTCAGCAACGCTAGTTTGCACCCAATTTGAACCGAAGACAAGCAGATTTTGCTCACGACAGATACGACATCATCCTACAGTATACGAAACCGGGATTTCATTAAAATTTGAATTCAAAATTCAGTAGCAAAATTAGTCCAACTAAGATAAAAATTTGTATTTAGGGGTAATCTACCATGCTGGTTCCAAATATGATGGCGGTTTTGCGTGAAAACTCGAAATTTTTTCTTTTGAATTTTGATCTTGTTTTCAAAATCTGGCAAAAAGCTTAAAATCGTCATTTGAGGGTTTTATGATGCTGTTTTCGAATGTGCTAGTGTTTTCGCCGGAAACTTTCCTTTTGAAATTTTGACTTTTTCATAGCTGCAACTTTGATAAAACTGAAAAACAAATGAAATAAATGCTACTTTCATTTTGATTTGCCAAATATCGCCGCCGAACATTGATTTTGGTCCCGTCACGAAGCTCGGTTTCATTTACACGCAAAACCACCATCATATTTGGAACCGGCATGGCAGATTACTCCTAAATACAAATTTTTACTCTAGTTGGACCAAATTCATTACTGAATTTTGAATTCAAATTTCAATAAAATCCCGGTTTCGTATACTGTAGGATGTCGTATCTGTCATGAGCAAAATCTGCTTGTCCTCGATGCAAATTGGGTGAATTATTAGCGTTGCTGACAGTTCATGACCTCTTATGTCCCCTGCTAATTACATGGCATCATACTCTCTGGGTAAATAAATTCCGTTCCCCGCGGCACATCATTCTAAAACGAGTTTTTTACTGGGCAAAGTGTGCATAATCTTTGACCTACTAGAATTACTTTATTATCATCTAAGTGCTATTTTACTGCGTTGAGTTCTTGTCCATGATAAAAAATTCAATCTGATATTATTTCAGTACTCCAGCACCGTTTTAGGGCAGTTTCCATCCACAGAGTTTTCCCGTAGAATAGTTTGCCAATTTCGTGAAGAAAAAGCTCATAACTTGTTTCAAAATAATGCGTCGCAGCTACGGACAGCATATTTGGAATCAACGTTCGAAGCTGTATATATGGTCACTTCTCAAAAACCGAATCTAATTCATCCTATTTTCAGGTGTATAAGCCGCAGGGTGGTCCTAGCTTACATCGACCAGAACGAACACATTAGAAGAACTCGC